GGAATTCCACCCCAGTTCCGTTCCCCCGCCCCCCCCCCCCGCCCCTCTCCACCCCTGTTGCACCTGCACGTCTGCTGGAGTCTATACGGCCTCACTCGCAGACCGAAATAACAAATCCTAAATGCCAAGCTGACTCGTCTTTATTTGGCATAAAAGTGAGGGATGGTCCTGGCCAGTTGTTTATTATTTTTTTGTCGATGCTGGTAACTCCTTTAGTCGCCAAGACAAAGGGAGAGTGTGTGTGTGTGTATTTGTATGCTATAAAAAAAGGGGGGGGGAAGATTTCTAGGATCATATACCTTTAAAAGATACCAGTACAATAATACCTTGCGCCTTCCTGGGTTTTCTCTTAGGATCCGTTCGCGGGATTTTGACTACTGCGCGGTATTTTTTTAAAAAACATTTTATATTCAAATTTTTTTTTTTACGTATATTTAAGAGTGTGTACTACTGTCCTGTATAGTGTTTAAGCACAAAGCAAGTGTCTATGAGAGTGTTGAAAAGATTAGTCAAATTGTGGGAAAGTTTGTTGGAAAGTAGCAACCCCCACCCCCCCTCCCCGGTGGTTCCGTAATGACCAGGGGAGTAGCTGGAGTTGGCGACGCCCAGGGTGCTCCTTGACTTCATCACACGTCACTCTCGCAACTACCAACATGTAAAATAGAAGCCATTGACAGTACGCGCAGTAGACACAACAAATGCCACCCCTTAAATTAAAACCGCCCGGGGGGGGGGGCGTCCCTTCGGACATACCCACCCCCCCCCTCTCAACCATCAGTTGTAATGTTGCACAAAAATGTCGAGAACAGGGAAAAAAATTTCTGACTGTTAAAAAAAAATCTATAGTCATGGTTATACAATTTTCAGNCCCCCCCCCCCCCCCCCCAAAACTATCAAATTAATAGTTTAGCCCAACGAATGTGTAACGAATGTCAGAAGGGAATACACACTTATAGATTAAATAAATTTAAAGTATCAGTAATTTTTTTTTTAGATAATTATAACAATTAATTTAGTTATATTATAGACTTTTCCGTCAATTTGTTAAACTTTTTATATACATGTCGGTTAAAATTTGATTTCTTGATTTTGATTACATACTCAAACTGTTCAAAGCGATTGTGCAATGACAAAATGACAACTTTTAAGTGTTAGATCAGTGGTTCTTAGCCTTTTCGGAGGTACCGAACCCCACCAGTTTCATATGCGCATTCACCGAACCCTTCTTAATAGGAAAAATAAAATATGAGTTTTTTCTGATTTTTTTTTGGACCTTCGCCGAATCCCGGAGACTGACTCACCGAACCCCTGGGTTCTATCGAACCCAGGTTAAGAACCACTGAGTTAGATGCTCATTCTATCCCCGGCCACCGCTTCAATCTCAATTTCTGTAATAATTAAGTTTTTTTTTAAAAGCATATTATTTTTTTGAATATAAATTAAAGGACTGCGTTGAAGCCTAGAAAATGAATGAAATAGCAAAACGAGGTACGTGGACGCTTGAATTATTAGAGAACAGGACAAAAAGATACGGACGTTTCGGCATAAAGCCTTCTTCAGCTAACAGTAGAAATGAAAATATCACAAAGAACAGAGGACAGTAAACAACTCAAGAAATATCCATTGTTTTGTTTGAAAGGGTTTTTTTTTTTTTTAAATTTAAAAAAAACAAAAAACGTCGTGAAATATTAAATTTATTGAGTAAATACAAACACCCCCCCCCCCCCCCGGTAGCTCACTAGTAGGCATTGATATTGCTCAATTGATAACAAATGATGTGGTCCCTTACTAGTAACTTGGCTGCTCACCGGACAAAATAATCACTACGTACGTCAATGCGGAAGTCGATGAGAAAAGCGTGAAGTTTTCGCTGCCACTCCATTTTGTTTTTAAGGGGGAAAAAATGCAAGACAGAGCGGAAAAAAAAAAGACAAAATACGATTGAGCAGCTTTTTCTGAGGCACCGGCCATGAGGCGCCCATCAATTAACGCCATCTTAACTCTCATACAAAACAGATCACATCCTTTCCGAAATGCTCTATCGTGCTCGCTATTATTCCAAAATTCCTCTCTTTGATTAGGACTTGTAGACGCTGTCCCGTATCTCGCAGTCTGTTTCCGACCCTTTGTTGGCCAGACGCGGAATCTCATCAATGTTGAAGTTCCCTGTCGTTGCCACCTTGCCTTCCCCCCCTCCCCTCCCCCCCCCCTTTTTTTCCCGTACCTTGACGTCTGCTGGAGTCTATACAACCTCAAACACAGACCGAAATAACAAATCCCCCAATAAAAATGTTGGGGAAAGTATTTTGGGGNATTTTTGGGGGGGGGGGGGGTCGTGTTTTCCTGTCGAGATATATATATATTAGATTCCCGTGACTTCTTAGTCACCAAGCCAAAAAAAAAATAAAATAAATAAAAGTCATTAAATGAATTTCTACATTTAATATTTATATAATTTTGCATTATGAAACTTAAAAAATTTATTTTATGTTATATTTTTGTTTGTATAATAATATTATCTCTGTTTCAAATCTCTTGGCATTAGTTGAAACAAGCCAGTGGGTTTGTCTCGTTCTTTGATCTCTGTTTACAGGGACAAACAATCAAGTCGATTTGTCCCATTCTTCGATCTCTCTGTTTATAGGGACAAATAAACAGTTCGGTTTGTCTCGTTCTTCAATCTCTGCTTAAAGGGACAAACATTGGTTTACCTAGCACCATTGCTGCCGTTCTTCTTAATAATAATAAAACTTATTTCACAACCTTAATGGACCCCATGCCCTTTTAAAAAGAAATTGCACTTACATGGAAACTTCACTATACAAAATCCTTTCATCCCATGTGACTTTCCATCGTAACCTTTGCCCCCCCCCCCACACACACACACCCACACGCAGAAAGCCCGACTTCCACGGCTGTTTGTGTATATTTTTGTTCAATTTCCAGGAACCGTAAACAAAATAGACCCCCATCATTTCCGAGAATTCTCTTCCAGTCCATTCTTCGCTGGATACAGTTCTTTTGGTGCCCATGCGCTTTTGACGCGGTCCGAACATTCCTCCTGGTGAGTCGACGCTAATATCCGTTACCGGTGGATGGAGGTTTGGGGTGGGGTTGGGGTTGGGGGTGAGGGATTAACAGGAGGGATGTCGTTGTCATAGAGTCTTTGTAAATAAATCAGCCCGAGAAGCAACGCGTTCTATTTCCATCGAGTGTCTCAGCACAAGAACCATCATAAGAGGGGGGGGGGCGCACCATCATAAGAGGGGGGGGGGCGCACCATCATAAGAGGGGAAGGCGCACCATCATAAGAGGGGGAGGCGCACCATCATAAGAGGGGAAGGCGCACCATCATAAGAGGGGAAGGCGCACCATCATAAGAGGGGAAGGCGCGCACCATCATAAGAGGGGAAGGCGCGCACCATCATAAGAGGGGAAGGCGCACCATCATAAGAGGGGAAGGGGCACCATCATAAGAGGGGAAGGCGCACCATCATAAGAGGGGAAGGCGCACCATCATAAGAGGGAAAGGCGCACCATCATAAGAGGGGAAGGCACACCATCATAAGAGGGGGCACGCGTGGTTTCAATTCTGCGCAGTATTTCCCCCCCCCCCCCCCACATCTTTTTTGTTTTCAAATATACAAAAACTAGAAAGTTAGAATTATTTTTCGAAAAAAAAATGAGAAAAAAAAATGGGTGTGGGGGGGAGGGGGGCGCATTGCAATGAGTTCAGTCAGCTGGAAGAACGGCTTCAGACAAAGGAGATACACAAATTTGCATCGGCAGATTATCCCTTAGGTCAGATTAAAAGTAAGTGTGGAGTAGGAAATGATGTGTAGGTGGGGGTGGGTGGGGGTATGTTGAGTGAGGCTTTGTGCAATCTATCTTTACATAATTTATTTTCTTAATCTATAAACAAACTCTACTGTAGCACATATTGATCCCAGCAATTTAAAGGTATCATTGGGACACATATGCACGTGACTTTCGGTTCTAAAAGAGACTAGAATACTAGGGCTTTCTTTGAAAGGTTGGTTTGGATTGGGGGGGGGGAGGAGGGGACCTGGGTTTTGTGGATGAAATGGGAGGAAAGGGGGGTGGGGGTATTTCCCAGGCATTACATTTGTTTTATCTTCAAAATTTTACCACGTCTCAGCTTAATTCCAGACAACCTTTTGAAGCAAGTGAGTTCACTTTTTAAAGATCTATATATATATATATATATATATATGTTTTATTTTTGTCTTTTAGCTTCGAGGTCATTATTTACTATTTGCGGAATTATTAGTTTTAGCAGACATTTTTTTTTTTACAAGCTCTGATTTCACTTTGATGTTTTGCTTACTTACAGGAAGAAATATGCTGAAATAAACATTCCAAATGAGTTAAGGTGTACAGGTAGCTTTAAAATCCATGTACAAATGTGAAAACCAGTGGCACGGGAGCTCGTAGGGGTGTTGACTCTAATCACCGGATGGAGGTGTGTCTCTTTCCTTCTCTACCTTGTTCCTGGCATAGATGAAAGATCAAAGTCATGTGCCAAGATGGGTCTTGCATTAGCTTATTTGGGGGGGCGGGGGGGAGGAATGGGGGTCGGGGTTGCCCGGGCATCAATGGTTCAGTTGTAGCAATCAGTTTGGTAGATCATCCTTTCCGATAACACCAAGTTTTTCTTGCTACCACAACGAATATTTATCTCCTAGCATGACAACATCTCGTCACACCACCAAAAAAAAAAGACAACACAAAAAAAAACATCTTTTCATTCCACCAAAAGCAAAATATGTTCAATCTACCAAAAAACCACACCTTTTCATGGCACCAAAACAATAGCTTTTCATCTCACCAAAAATCACACCTTTTCATGCCACCAAAACAATAGCTTTTCATCTCACCAAAAACCACACCTTTTCATGCCACCAAAATAATAGCTTTTCATCTCACCAAAAACCATACCTTTTCATGCCACCAAAACAATAGCTTTTCATCTCACCAAAAACCATACCTTTTCATGCCACCAAAACAATAGCTTTTCATCTCACCAAAAACAACACATTTTCATGCCACCAAAACAATAGCTTTTCATCTCACCAAAAACCACACATTTTCATGCCACCAAAACAATAGCTTTTCATCTCACCAAAAACCACACCTTTTCTATCTAAAAAAAAAACCCCACATCTTTTCATGATTACAATGCATCACATCCATACAAACCCCACTCTCCCCCCACCCCAACTTCAAGCTCCGCCCCTCCATCACCCCACCCACAATTATACCACGTGATACTAACACTTTTTTCCCCTCTTTTTTTTCTTAGATCCGAACCACGTGATCACCAAGACTGGACACCGTCCAAATGTACGCATTGCGAAAATCGTTCTGACCACCCGAGATCGGGATTACCCCACACCTGTACAAAAAGTCTGGGAGTGCAGGGAAATTCCACCACGTCCCTCTCATCAATAATTGGACATAATTAAACGCAGGCCGACACAGCTTTCACGGCATCCTATTGATATTGCTAGACACTACTGCTTCTGTCATTTACTGTGAAGCATCGTACTTCTAGATACCAGCAGCAGCACTGAGAAGATCTTCAGTCCTTTACAGTGAAACGCGGTATACTTCTAAACACTAGCAGAGTTCAGACGATCTTCAGTAATTTTCAGCCAAGCACAAGTCCGTTTGGACATTCAGGATTACATGCTGCATCTTATAGAAAACGTCTTATCTGTAATGTGTTTTCAAAAGGACTAGGAATTGTGTTGATAGATATATATTTTAAAAAAAGATAAATGTTAATTGAAATGACATGTATTCCTTAACAGAGAATTTATCATCTAGAACTTTTATTCTGTAGCATATGTATTTCCTTAACTCTTTTCTATTTTCATGAGGAGTCTTTAAGAATTAATGAAATTTTCCGGAAAAAAACAACAAAAGAAACAAGATAATTTTAATTGTAAATACGTCAAGGAAAAGATTGGTTTCGTAATCAAAGTAAAAAGTGGGGACACTTTTGCTACATCGATGAGTGGAATGCTGTGTAGTACGTGGTAGAGCTGTTGGACGCCACTGGAGAAAAAAAAAGTGTTGAGCATTTTATGTAAAGCGTTGATCTTCAGGCTTCACAAAGCAAAGGACAGCAGTCTACCTTTTTCTGTGAGCGTGCGGATTAACACTAATCTGCTGGATGATGAGGTGGGCAAGTTTCGCCGATTTCGAGAGCTTCCAGGCACAGAGATGACCTCAGGGGTCAAGGTGAAATTTTCCACCGAGGGCATCGAAATATGATTCACGCTTGGGCAGCTATTAGCATCTTACTCACGACTGTCACCATGGGGTGAGTTGTATAATACTCTAAGACAGCGGTTCTCCCCAATGCCGCGAGCCTTTAACATAGGTCCTCATGTGTGGTGTCCCCCCCCCCACCAACTATAAAATTACTTTCGTATCTACTTCATAAGTATGTGTTTTCGGATGGTTTTAGGCGACCCCTGTGTAAGAAGGGTCCTTCGACAACCAAAGCGGGTCGCAGCCCACAGGTTCAGAACCTCTGCTCTGAGACATCCCACGAAATCGTGAGACCACTAGTGGTTTTGTTTTCTTCTTTTTTTTTCAAACAATTTATTTTTATTTTTGGAGATTCCTAATCATCTTGTAATTCGGGTTAAAGGTCACGCTCTCCTCGACCCCACCCCACCAAAAAAAAAAATAAAAATGTTTCAGATCATCTCATCAAAAATTGCGCCACGAATACAAGTTTAAAAAAGCACCATTGCCTAGTACAAAAAAAAAATACGACGGTGTTAGGAGTATTTACAACACCGAGAATCGAAAGATCAGGGGAGTGCGTGGGGAGGAGCATGATAGTAAAAAAAAATAATGAGGCGTCTGGGATTTTGTTAGTAGGAATATGGATTAATCTGAGGACTAGCTTCAAAGGTTCTCACAACTTTATTATTATTATGTTTTGTTTTTTGTTTGTTTGTTTGTTTGTTTTTGTTTGTTTTTTTTTTTTTTTTTGCAATCCCAAAATGCATACATATCCCGTGATGATATATTTATCATACAGAGCTTTACATTGTATTTTCTTAAACCTTCTTCTAGTAGGAAATGTTTTCCCACTTTTATTTTGAGGCCTTGCCATTTACACAGGAGATATGATTTTTTTTTTCTATCCAAACGATGATTTTGTTGTTCTCAGTGGAACCACTAACAACATACTGCGCCTGAACATCAAGAAAGAGCCCATACTAGACCCCAACACCGTGTGCAAGACGTACCCGGAACTGTCGTCGGGGCAGTACAATCTGTGCCGGAAGTACCCCGACGTCACCGCGTCTGCGATCCAGGGCGTGCAGATCGCCGTCCACGAGTGCCAGCACCAGCTGAGGACGCACCGGTGGAACTGCTCCGCCCTGGAGAAGAAGAACAAGAACCCGCACGCCAGCCCCATTCTAACTAAAGGTGAGTTTTGACCCCCCACCCCCACCTCCTCTCCAAGTAAGCCCCATTCTAACTAAAGGTGAGTTTTGACCCCCCCACCCCCACCTCCTCTCCAAGTAAGCCCCATTCTAACTAAAGGTGAGTTTTTCACCCCCACCTCCTCTCCAAGTCAGCCCCATCCTAACTAAAGGTGAGTTTTGACCCCCCCACCCTCTCTCCGAGTAAGCCCCATTCTAACTAAAGTGAGTTTGTACCCTACTCCCCAAACCAGCCCTATTTCAGCTGAAGATAAATTGTTATGTCCCATGTTGGTACCGTTTTAGCTAAAGATGAGTTGTGAACCCCACGACAGCCCGCCGTCCCCCCCCCCCTTTTCCACCATTGTACTTAAGGTGAGTTTTGACCCAACGCCAACCCCTATTTTTAGCCAAAGATGATTTGTGACCCACATGCCAGCCCCATTTTTAGCTAAAGATTTGTGACCCACACGCCAGCCCCATTTTTAGCCTAAGATGATTTATGACCCACACGCCAGCCCTATTTTTGGCTAAAGATGATTTATGACCCACACGCCAGCCCCATTTTTGCTGAAGATGATTTGTGACCCACACGCCAGGCCCACTTTCAGCCGAAAGTGAGTTATGACCCTACTACAACGCCTGTCCCATTTAGGCTCAAGGTTTGAGCTAAGAACATCCGCACGCCAGCCAGGCTTCCATTCACGGCAAGACTTCTTTTGGGCAATGTGACACAGGGGGAAGTTTTGAGTTGAATGAAGAACAGGAACAGAGGGATTACTGTAGCCCATTGGGATGCAGCATTTCGGTCCTATTTGACCGCCAGACTAGAAGCCCCTAGTCTCTACAGTAAACACGTATCACTTTAATTAATCTCAGCTAAAACAACGTCTGACATACCATTCAAAACATTACTTTCCAAATGCTTTTTTTTTTTAATTTATTTTTTTCTCTGAACATATTTCTTGGCCCCTCTAATTTTCTAAGAGCCAAGTTTCCACTGCAGAGACTTATACAAAGGTCTCACTTTAAAAATAATTTATTTTTTCATTGGTTGAAAATGTATGAAAAAATAATGAAATATTGTACTTTATTAATCTAGTACAGGGCAAAATCCAAAACTAAAATTCTTTCTCACTATCCATTTCTCGTTTAACCTTTAACCCCAAAGGTTACAAAGAAACGGCCTTCGCCTACGCGATCTCCGCAGCCGGCGTGACGCACCAAGTGGCCAAGGCATGCAGCATGGGGAAACTCAAGTCTTGTGGCTGCGACATGAGTGTCCACGGGAGGAAAGGTAATTTGTAGGGAAATTCTGAAATTGAGGGAAAGGTTATCCTGATTGTTCTGTCTTGAATTTCCTCCACCAAAAAAAAAAAACCAATTTAAAATTGCAAATAAATCTCTTACATCAGATATTTATCGTCCTACCATTATCTTCAAAGGGCATCCTTATCATGGGCGCTGCCTCCCCTACTGGTTAACACTTTGCCATATTCCATAGATTAATGTATATTCCTGAATAATATTTTTTTTAATACCACAAGCCGCCTCTGTTATATCAACTTTGGGCATACCCCAAACACACAGTCTAGGAATAGTATTTTGTTAGTGACAATACCGAGCTACCACACCGGTTATTCCATTCATTACGTTTGACTTCCCTTTAACACCACACCTTTCACAGGTCGCCACACGGAAGATGACGTGGAGCGAACCTTCGAGTGGGGAGGCTGCAGCCACAACATCGAATTCGGTGCCAAGTACGCCCTGAAGTTCTTGGACTCGAAGGAAGTGGCCAGGGACGTTCACTCTCAGATCAATCTGCACAACAACAGGGCAGGGAGACTAGTACGTACAATCAGGGCGTGTGTGTGCTCGCCGTTATCGCCACGATCAAAATGTTATCATTATGAATGTTATGGTCATTAAATTAATTGGGTATACATACTTTAAAAAAATTAAATAAAAAATGCATATAGTTTACCATCGGTTCTAAGAAAGATTTTTTTTTAAAAATATAATATTGAAAAAATGTGGATGTATCAAGTGGAGCAGGCTGTAGTTTTAATTTGAAGAAGTGTAATTTTATGAGCATATGCCCCTGTAGAAACTAGAGATAAATTTAAAGCCAAAGGATTTTAAAAAAAAAAAAGAAATGCAGATTAAAAATAGCACAGTGGGCACTTGCAACGTATATTAGTGTAGCAGGCATGAGCACAACAAGAATTAGTACAGTAAGAATTAGTACAGTAAGAATTAGTACAGTAAGAATTTTACAGTAAGAATTAGTACTGTAAGAATTAGTACTGTAAGAATTGGTACAGTAAGAATTAGCACAGTAAGAATTAGTACAGCAGTTATTAAGATGAGCACTATAATTCCCCCCCCCCCCCCCATACCTTTTGGGATCACACAACCCACAATTTTATTAAAAAAAAAAGGGAAAAAAGAAAAANGAGAGAGAGAGAGAGAGAGAGAGAGAGAGAGAGAGGGAGAGAGAGAGAGAGAGAGAGATTTAATTTATAGTAATTAATGGACTGCATTCAATAGACTTATTTAATATGGCACATTTTGTTTTGTCTTGAGACACTCTGCCAACCAAATCTCCCGGCTCCACCTACTAAAAAAAAAATACAACAAACAAACAAACACAAAAACCCTCAAAATGCACATTTCCATCTCCTAGGCTGTCACGAGAAATGTCCGCGAGCAGTGCAAGTGCCATGGAATGTCCGGCTCCTGTGAACTTGAGACCTGCTGGAAGGCGGCGCCTGACTTCCGGAAGGTCGGTGACGTCTTGCGGAAAAAATATGATGTAGCCTCTAAGGTACAGGTAACCAAATTGTTTCCATATCGCCTATACTTACTTAGACGGAGACCATTGCCCGGATGTCAAAGACGTGGTTTAAAATTGTTTCATTAATAGTTCGTATGGGAAACGACTCATGATAGACACAGACACGAAATTATAATCTTCTTGCCTCCCTTTAACTTTTTTAAAAAAATCCTGGTACTCTTTCTTTAATTTATAAAACCTACTTACGGCATAATATGTTCATTTTGAGTTATACAGACGTGTAAGGGGCAAACAAATTTCATTCTGGCGGTGTCTAAGTTTCAAAGGGAAATAACATCAGATATCTTTTTGTGACATGAATTAAGGGCTACTTCCCTTTATTTACAATAATAAATCTTTTAAGCTTCCCAATCACTTGAAGATTTGATAAAGAAATAGTAGAGGGGGGGGGGGCGGGTAGAGTTAACTTAGAAGAATAAAGTTTTGTATGCATACAATACAATAAAATTACAAATGAAATACAACATAAAGACTAGCCCCTCCTCCCTCCTCCCCCTCTCCCTCCCTCCACGCCCTAACAACTTTTCACGGACCCCAAGGGGTTAGGAACCACTGGCTTATTTATTTTTTATACTATTACATTAAAGAGAAAGAAGTCTTTACAGTCTAATTAGTAAATTATATATATATATTGTAAGCTGAAATACACGCTCCTAATATTGATGATGAACTTTTCCCACTGCTTCAGGTTGACATAACCAACACGGCCGACGCAAAGCTATTCAAAAGGAACGGCCAACGGCCGCACAAGATGGACCTCCTCTTCTACGAGAAATCCCCGAACTACTGCGAAGAGAACCCGAACCTGGACTCGCCCGGGACGACGGGCCGAGACTGCAATAGGAGCAGCGACGGCATCGACAACTGCGACACGCTGTGCTGCGGGCGCGGCTACAACACGGTGCGCGTCAGCCGCTCAGAGCGGTGCAACTGCAAGTTCTACTGGTGCTGCTACGTGGAGTGTCAAACGTGCACCTACACCGAGTGGGTGACGGTGTGCAAGTGATGGGGGGAGAAGATGGACTGCAAGCGACACGATGATTTCAAAATCTATGGTTTTTGGAAGACACAGTGTTAAGAAATAGGAAGCTTTCAGTATGTTTTCTACGTATCAAATCTGAACTTTGGGGGGTCATTCTGGTTTCCAAACTCGCCAATGTGGAAATAAGGTCACATGATGATTTTAAAAAAAACAAAAAACATCGAACTCTACTACATATGTTCTTTTTGGGGACAAATAGAACCCAAATTTTCTGCTTTATGCTCCAATGCCCCATCTTTTCCTTGTTAGCAACCTTCCTAATCTTCTCTGCGTTGTCCAGTATAGGTTCTGGGCGTAGTGACGGTGTATCCTGTTTCTGAGGGTTGAAACAATTTAAGGCGACTCTAGATGTAGAAATAATACAGCTTTTCTTAAAGCAAAAGTTAAAACAACGTAAAGTTCATCCCTCCTGGAGAGAACATTGGATATCTAAACAATTTCTTGGTGCCAGCACCCGAATGAGAAATATATGAGGGCTGGGACACAGACTCTCGCAAGCCTAATTCACAAAGAGCAGTAACTTGACATTTTATAACCTGTCTGATGTTATAATTGACATTTTGAATTTTGAATATTTGTTTTCCTCACGGTGGAATTTGTTCCTTGTAAAACCAAGGATGGAACTGACTTTTTTGTGACTAAAATTATTTTTCATGTTATGCATCCAACTCACCCCCCTCCTTCACCCCACCCCCAAGACTTTGATCGGAAATTTAAACACATGACTTGAAGTGGAAGCTATGTATCCATGACAACAGTCACACCTGAAGTGACTGCCAAAAATTAAACATTTTCGCTTTGAACATGTCTGATAACTCTATCAACCACACCAAGCGTGTTCAATCCACACATCAAGCTGTCATCCACAATGTCCACTTCAAAAAAGGGTCATCGCATCATGTGTCATACGAACAACGTGTGTATGAAGTCGGCAAGCGATAACCGATTCACATCGATACCAGCTGATACCGATGCCTTATCATCTTAGGAACAGGCGCCCTCCGATGAAACCTTAGAGACGACAGTGCAAACACAACGTTCTTTATGAAGACCCTATCCGGGAGGGACTTCCCTGCACACATTCGCATCATCTCTGGTGGCCAGACGACAAAGAACGGACGTCTACTCTTCATGCGCACCGAGCTCCGTGCGGAAAACAAAACAACAAACAGCTAAGATGAGAACTCCTTTCATCGTAACTGTTTAATCGTTGTTTGTTTGTTTTGTTGTTGTTTGTTTTGTTTGGGTTTGTTGTTGTTTTTTTTTTTTGGGGGGGGGGGGGGTTTTTTGTTTTTCCNTTTTTTTTTTTTTGTTGTTTTTTAATTAGGATAGAAAATGTAAAAGTTTTTTTTTTTTGTTTGTTTTTTTTTTTTTTTTCTCTTGTTTTTTTTTTTTTGGGGGGGGGGGCAAAAAACCGCTAGGAGTAAGCAATTACTTCATCCCTGGTATTTATAACTATCTTGAAAACACTTGGAGCAAACATTTACTTTGTGCCTGGCATTTATCACCATCTGAGATATCGCCTCCGTCAATTTAATTACATATTTATTGATTTATCTTTTTTTTTTTTTGAATATTTCATATTAGTTACTTTATTTTTTTTTAAATATTTTATTTAAATGATATTTATGTGAGGTTTTCGAGTCTTTGGCGGTATTCTGGAATGATCGAAAAATAACCTTCCAGCTCCCGTTGAACAGCCAGCAGTTTGACCTTGACGTTGACAGTCCTAGAGCTAACTGCGGAATTCATTGCTTCTTGTCATTAATGTAAAACTACTTCGTCTTTTTTCGAATATGTTTTTGTTGTTGTTGTTGTTTGTATGTCTTTTCTTTTTAATGTGGCCTGCTTAGGGGTGGGGAGGGAATGGTAGAGGAATCGCCTGTGCATGGGGAATAGCCTGAGGAATTGAGTGGGGGGGGGGGGATTTATTGTCAATTCTATTGCCAGTACTCGTATTGGACGGTGTAACTTATTTCACGAGAAAGCCATAACATTTGTACCCACTTTTTCGCATTGCTTGTATTTGAATTGCGATCTACTTGGTAAAAACAAAATCCTCAAATATTCAAATGCAGTTATTTCGCTCATTGCTTGTCATCATATATCTGCACCATTGAGTATCCGAATAACAAAACAAAAAGGGCGTAACTAGGGTTGTTGTATGTGGGGGGCATGAGCCCTGGCTGGGGTGCATGGGATGTCAATTACACATTTTTTGCTTTTATGACATGGAAATACATTTTGTTTTCTTATTAAAACGTTTCAAATATCGCCAGTTAATCGAAATTGTCCCGATTCGGTAAACTTTTAAAGGGGCAAGAAATTCAGCTCCTAAGACAGGTAAATGTCTGGCCTGTTTAAACTGCGTTTATGTGTGCGTGCGTGTGTCATTTCACGCATAAGGCTAAGCCGTGTAATGACACAGCAACTAGGAAATCCCGATTCTTTGCACACACGTCACACACTCGGATGCGGAGTAAAAAGGGAATGGGTCTTGATGTCATTAAAAAAAAGGCACATATATATTACATTTTAAAAAAAAAAATTAAATTAAGTCAGAATTTAGAACTGACGACAGATTGGTTTCGAAACTAAATGGAAGCTAAATGAAGCTAAGAAACTCTGAAAATAATAATGTACTCGATTATTATTTGTTTTCCTTTGTAACTCATTCAGCTCTCATTTAATAAGTGAAGCCACTGGCTTAACAGGATGAAGTCTAGGATGGTATCGTCTGGAGGACGATATCAATATTTATATTTATTTAAGTTATATCCGTTCATTGGTATCGGATAAAAAAGGGGGGGGGGGAACTGTTACTACCAACCAACGATACTAACGCATATTGCGGCGTTCCACTCTGTGGGTTTTTTTTAAATTTTGATGTTTGTTTGTTTCTTTTTTCTTTTTTTTGGTTATGTAATGGGCTAGTGGACTGGTTCTAAACCTGTGGTTCAAGGCTCCATCGGCGTCGCCTGGCAAATTGTCAGGGGTTCCATGAGACTCACAGAACCTGGGGAGGTGGGGGGTGGGGGGGGCTGTAAACTGTCCGTTTATTCCTATTAATCGAATTTTCATTTTAAAATTTAAATACTATTCACAGTGTTCGGGCTAGTTTATTGTTGTGGCTACACTCTAGCACACTCTAGCTGCATTTAGCTTTTTTTTAAATTTTAAAATAAGCAACAAATTCGATTCATATGTCAGCAGTTAATTTAATACAAATATTTTTTTTTCCAATTTCACTTCATTTTTTTTCCAATAAATTATATATTATGATTTTATTTCGTGCTAAAAATGTTCTTGGTTGTTTCATTTTATTAATGTTTACAAATATTTTTTTGCCTAAACTAAATAAATTATTTGTACAGTGTAATATGCAAATAATTTGAATAAAATGAACCCAAACTATAACCTGTAGCGTTGTATGTCAGCAATCACCCTGTTTCTAAAAATGAACACTTCACTTGCGTCATGCAGATGGATGACTGGACTAATCAACAAGCAGCTAGAAAAAAAGTCTTTTTTTTTCCTCCCCCCCCCCCATGACATCACGATCAACAAAACTAAAGCAGAGATTTACCATTTCATTGTTAACCCAATTTTTTTTTTTTTTTTTTTTTTT